AGATCACTCACGCTAACAACGGGCCTGCTACTGCTACGCAGGTGTCACAGAATAAGTCCTACCACCGTTCTGAAAGGCCGAGGGCACCAAGGAGACAGACGAGTCCGGCTATTTCCGAGGCGGGGACGTGGGATACCAACAGTGTGATTACGAATAACGATATGAAGACGACTGTTTCGACGAATGTGGGGTATGCTTCTGAGCGAAGATCTCGATAGGTGGATGCGAGCATTGTGTGTGAAGACGGTCTAAATGGTCCGCGTGACGCGGCTCTTTTTCTATGAGTTACTGCTATTGCGCTTTGTTTCTTTTTGTTTTCGCTTTATGCGTATGGCCGCAGCTACGCAGTATTGTAGGAGCTCATGTTGATGATGCAGATGAAGGATGAACACGAATGAGGATATATATGGATTACGGCCGAGCAATGCATGATGAAGAGAGTCTCGAGATGGTTGCATTTCTGTAGCAGGGCGTTCTGGTTCCTTGCTTGTTTGATTCGAAGTAGACGAGCTTGTAAGATAGTTATCATATCATCTGTTTTCAAGTGCAAAATACTGGTCGCATGATGGGATTGTGTGAAGTTCGTGTGTCTTTAGTCGTGCCTGGCAAAGTCATTGCTGCGTGATTCTATACTCGATTTCAAAGCCTTGGAGTCTCCAAAATGTACTCTGGTCTAGAAATTGTGCTCTCGTACAAGCGGAGGTCGTGGTGGTGCCCCCAAAGAAAGTGAAAGAAAGCTCCAAAACGCCGAGGCTAGCCCGAACATCAATCGCGCTCGAAGCTCAAGCTACCAAGACGCTCTCAAGAAAGTCCAACTCCCCATCTCAACGCCACAAACACCCATTCTCGCCTCCTCCAACCGCGCCAATTCGCGTCAAACACTCAAAAGAACTATCACCGAGCTTCAAAAATGGCAGAACCGTCTCACAATCCAGCCGTCGCAAACCCCGACATCGACCCAGCGCTCACAAATGGCGAGGCGCAACAAGCACCTACAGAACATTCCGCAGATGTAGAAATGGCAGATTCAGGCTCAGCACCAGCAGTAAGCTATCACTCTAGATATCACCACCAAAAGTCCCTTACTAACACACCCCTCAAGCCCACCACCCTCGACGCCTCAGCCTCAACACCCACCCACCAACCCAGCGTACAAACCGTCCCGCCCACACCCTCCACCTCAACCCCAGCACCGCCCTCCGCACCAAATCTACCGACCGCTACCACAGCGCCGACACCCACTCCCGCAGCCTCATCGCGCAACTCACCGCACCCCACTGCGCAAGCGCCCACACAACCCATTCCACACGGTAGTCCCACGCGAGTGTACTTGAATCAGCATGTGACGCCGCATTTGCTCGAGGCGATGAAACATCTTGCTACTGCGGAGCCGGAGAAGCCGCTCAAGTGGTTGAGTGAGTTCTTGGCGGGGAAGAGTAGGGAGATTGAGGGGACATGATGGGCTCGTGGAGGATGAGTAATGGGATGACGGGCTAGGGAGGAGTTGAGCACGGCATATTTGGGACGCATACAATAAGGCCATGTATATGGGCGGCCGCATGGGGAGCTGTCGCTCAGTCACTCGTGGGCGAGAAGGAGACTGTCATACACATGCGTGTTTGGGCGGTGAGCTTCGCGATCTGTTTGTCAAGCTTGACTATTGAACAGGCAGCATGGGTTTGAAGAGCAAGCGACATGGGACGACTTCAAGCGCATGGCAGATGTTCACCAAAAGTAATAAGACGGCGTCAGGATGATACCCAAGTCAAGCAGCAATACAACAAGTAAATTCCAGACTTTGACACTTTCAATGCAAATTGGGTATAATTCAATTCGAGGTGATGCTTTTGATTGATTCATTCCATATCGTGATCCTGCTAGGTATCCGCAAAGCATCCATGCCCGTGAAACTCCACTTAAATGTCTACCATGACGACTACCATCCACACCAATCCGACATCTGCTTATGCGACGAGGGTAGAGGCGGTGGCGCTCTCGTACCTCCAGGTAGGGGGGAGGGCACCGACGGTCTTGTAGTAGCGGGAGAGCTGAAGATGATTAGCACGTGTTCTTCCACACGATTCAGTCGAGCAAACTTACACGGTGGATACGGGACTCGATGAGAATGAGGCGGAACTTGGAGTCGCGGTCCTTGCGGTTGGTCTGAAGGTGCTTGCGGACGGCAACGGCCTTCTTGATCAACATGTAGAGGTCCTCTGGGATGTCGGGGCTGAGGCCTTAAGCGCAAAATGTTAGCCTAGACCAACAAATGCAGTTTTGTATAGCGCGCAGATGCTCACGAGGAGCAGAGCTGTGTTGACATGCGCTTTCATGTGTATAGGGCAATCGTACCGTTCGACTTGAGGATTCGGAGGATCTTGTTGCCGGTGACAACCTTGACCTGAGCGACACCGTGCGAGTCACGGAGGATCTCACCAATCCTGCGATTGTGTTAGCCGACCAATTCCGTGTGTATTCCTTTCCAAGCGATTGTCTTACTGAGATGGTGTAGCACCCTTCTTCGCGAGCTTGCAGATCTGGTCGACAACCTGCTCGGGGGTGGTCTTCAACCACGCCGGGGGGCTGCGGGAGTAGGGGATGGCGGAGGCTGATATGCCCTTTCCGTTGCTGTGAAGACGACCCATATTGAATGAATGTTCCGGATGGCGACCTGGTCGATTAGTACGGAGACGTGGTGGTGGGCTTGTCGTGGGTTGAAGTTCGCGATCGAAGACTCCAATTTCTCGCGGCTCGGCTAGGTCTGTGGTGGACCGTGCGCGGACTAGCGTCAGAGCTCCTGCCTGACAAAAAGTCTGCGGCGACCAACCTCGTCCTCAACACCTCACGATGTCAAAACATTGACCTTGGCGTGCAAGCGCGATTGTCCCGGCTATGTTGAAGCTAGATGATCGCGCATCAGATTACGATTGATATCTTTTCGGAATTGCTTACCCTAAGCCAGCTACAGCAGCTCACTCCCAACGTAAGTTCAACCCAGTTCCTCCCTTCCATCACAATTATGAGATCCAGTGCATTCGACGCCTCTTATTTTAGGCGGGGTTCTTCGGAACTTCGCCGGTGCATAAATCTCTATTCTGAAAAGTGTCATCTCTGCTTTACTGCATGAAATCTTGCGAGCGACCAGTGCTGACAAGAAATAGACATACAGATCACCTCTACTTGCGCTTCCTCCTGCATTCACTACTCGGTATGTACTTCTGCCGTTTTCTTCATCGCACAATGATGACAACCCATACTTTTGGCACCTCTTATTTTAGGCACACCCGTAAGGGCGTTGCCAGTGCATTCAACTTATACTCTGATTTGCGATCTTATCAACTTCTTTATTTACATGATACTTTACTGGCGACATGGACTTACAAGAAGCAGTTTTCAATTACATTAGGTTGTTGTCGCCTTCAGCCTCGGTCAGATCGCACTTTCTTGTTGACTCACGCGTACGCGGTTTCTCGTACACTGCTCGTGGCTTCCGCATGCTAGATGTCGTCACGCCATAGTCAAATATATCAATAATAATACATCCATTGATCCTGTGCCAGCTCATCACAACCCTACCTCACTCCAACGTTTTCTTTCACGCTTCATACACATCCCGCAACCCATTGCTCGTACAATAGCCTCTTTCAATTATTCAGCATGAAGCATACAATACTAAGCGCAGTCATCCTCCTCCCCCTCGCCTACAGCAGAACCGCCAAAGAGCTATGTCGCGGTACCGCTGAACTATCCTCTGATGGCAACTGGTACTGTTCTGAGGTCTGGGCCATCACCTACCGCAACATCAGCCAGCCTGGTGCCTATAATCGGACCACTACAGTCGATCCAAAGACTGGTATTTGTGGTCATGAACGTGTCGACTATCCTAGCGCAGGACCACTGACACCATTGTTCGGACAAGTATAGTTTGACTCGGGCTCCAGTTGTTACATGGCTGACAGGATCAGGTGTCGATGCACCTTCGCGGGCCGATGAACGTCTCTCAACTCGCCGTATACCAACTACCTGGTGACGCGCGCGCTATGGGGAAGCGAACTACAGTACCTTTCTACAACCGTCGGCGATCGTTGGAGCAGCCAGAGACACCAGTGGCAACTACTATGCTGACACAGTCGACGTCCTCTGGCCGGCCCAACCTTTTCAACAGGGATGCATGCACCACATCGTCCAGCTGCGTCTCGACGACAGTAACACGGACGGTGACCGTAAAGGCGCCCTGCCCCCCGACTGGTACTGCACAGTCTGGACCAAACACAACCTACATAGGTCCTCCACTGCCGTGCTTGCCCACGTCTGGTGCTCAATCGATCTCTGGCTCTACACTTCCAGATCCGAACTGTACTTGCGTTGAAAACGAAGAGCCCGAACCCATCTTTCAGCGACCCAACGGGCAGGTTTACGTCAGTCCAACGCCAACGCTAAAACATGCACCGGAAACATCATCGACACAGGACACGCTACCAGTGTCACAGCATCCAGATGGACAGCCCTTCGAGGTCCCTTCACCCTCATCATCATCACCGCAAGACACATTACCAGTGTCCCAGCGTCCAGACGGACAGCTCTTCGATTCCCCTTCGCCCTCACCGTCATCAACACAAGACATACTACCGGTGTCGCAGCTGCCAGACGGACAACCTATTCAACTCCCCTCGCCCTCGCCATCATCAATGCAAGGCATATTGACGGTGTCTCAGCGCCCAGATGGACAGCCTATCGTACCCTCGCCTTCACCATCATCACCACAAGAGACGCTACCAGTATCACAGCGTCCAGATGGACAACCTTTTGACATCCCTTCGCCCTCGCCATCGCCCGTCTCGAAGAGGCAGGGTTCAGATTGGAAGCGGATAGCATACTACACGTCTACATCACCGGCTCAAGCCACCGGGCTCAGCTTTATGGCTAACCTGGGTGATCCTCAAAAGTCTGGTACTTTTGACTAGTGAGTGTTTTCTTGTTCCAGAAGTTTCGAAGCTGACATGTTCAGTGCATTTGGAAACTCGCTCAGCTACGTCACTCCCCGGGGTGACAAAGTAGCAGCTGAGAGTCAGCCGTTCGAAGGCACGCTAAAGACGTCTGAGAACGAAATCGTGGTCCTTTCCGATAAAGAGTGTGACGCAGACTGTCCGTACTGGAGACCCGACGCGACATCTCACTACGGCTGGTCAGGCTCCTCGAAAGCCTTCTTCATCGAATTCCAAATGGACCACTACGACAACGTAGGCACGGACCAAGGCCTCCTCTCTGACGCCCCGGCTTACTGGTTCCTCAACGCAGCCATACCTCGCATCCTCCAGTACGGCAACGACCGCAACAACATTCCCTGCTCATGCTGGTCAACCGGCTGTGGCGAGTTCGACGCATTCGAGCTTCTCAGCAAAGGCGCCGAACGCGCAAAGTCGACTATACATCGGCAGGGCAATCTAGAGGGTGGTGACTCCAACTACTTCAGCAGACCAGTAGGGAAGAAGATGAAGTTTGCGGTTGTTTGGCACTATCCTCACATCACGGCATTGGTGTTGGACGACGACTTTGACTTTTCAGAGAGCATGTCAAATGATGCGATTCAGAAGTTGGTGGCATACGATCCGGATAGCTGGGTGCATTCTCTGTATGCTATTGGGGACTGAGGTGGATGTTTTTTAGGCCTGGAGGATTGAGATATTCGTGTGAAGACATCTTACATGCAACCATACACCTAGCAGTACAACCGAAGTGCTCTTGCACAAGAAGACCATTTTCTTTTATTCCCGATGCGTGAGACTGGCGACCGAGGCAGGCTCACACGTGATGTAACAATCATCTGAAGACGGACATGGGCGATGCAGCGGAGTGGGCCGGCGATTGGGGTGGTGGCAAGCTGACGGATAGGCCTGCCCAAGCGGGCACGAGAAACCGAGGTCTGTTCGCGACTCAGAGTCCGTGAACGACGACCAGCCGCATCCCGGCCGACAACATTGCGCATCTACTCATCGCCTCCATTACCGTCTACACCCAACGTCGCGTCTTCGCATCTAAACCATCGCCCAACTTACTGCTCACGTGCAGCCACTGTCGACGCGGATCCGCCCCTTGAGCGATTGCCAGTCTCGGCCGGCGCAGTTTCCCCGCAAAAACTCGCTGCCCCGATCGCCGCGAATTGCCAGCCTCCCGACGTTTGCTGACGACATCCGCCATCGTCTCTGCAAAGTCACTTTCTGTACTGCGCACATAGCGCGGAGGAGGTACACTCTGAAACATGTCTGCGCCATCGCCGCCAAAGCCCTGGGAGACGAGCAATGGCGCGACGAGTGCCTCGGTTGGTGAGTCCGCCAGCCATCCGATACGTCAGGGACGCCGCGACTAACAACAACACAGGCCTCACTGGATCGAATAGCAGCACAGCACCCACCTCAACAGCCACATCCTCGAGTGCGCCTCCACTACCATCCGTACCAGACTCACTCAGCACCGTCGCGAACCGCAACGCGTCCAACTACTCGAGCATGAACAACCGATACGGCTCCCCCTACAGCAGCGGATATGGTGGAATGAGCAGCTACAGCTCGCCCTACTCCAGCATGGGGGGTGGCTACGGCTCCATGTACGGTGGAATGGGCGGTATGGGTGGCATGTATGGCGGCATGGGAGGTATGGGCATGGGCATGGGCGGAATGTACGGCGGTATGGGAGGCATGCAGGGCGACCCAAACAGCAGCCTCACGCAGTCCTTCAGCCAGAGCACAGCAGCGACTTTTCAGTTGATTGAGAACATTGTCGGCGCATTCGGCGGCTTTGCCCAGATGCTTCAGAGCACATATATGGCGACACATTCGTCATTCTTCGGTACGTCCGCCCCTTTCCAACTTTCAGCGATATGCTAACATCCTCAGCCATGGTATCTGTAGCAGAGCAGTTCGGAAACCTACGACAAACGCTTGGCTCGGTATTGGGCATCTACACAATAATGCGATGGATACGGACGGCAATCGCAAAGCTCACCGGACGACCCCTACCAGCAGATGCGACCGCCCTCACCCCCGCGAGTTTCGCAGCCTTCAACGGACGTATGCCCGACGGCTCGCCAGCTCCCGCAAAGCCTTCCAAGAAGCCATTTATCGTTTTCATGCTCGCCGTTTTCGGTCTCCCCTACCTAATGGGCAAACTCATCAAGGCGCTTGCGAGATCACAAGAAGCCCAAGAGCAACAGAAGATGCTAGAGAACCCGCAAGCAGGACAGCCCCTCGACCCCAACAAGCTCGAATTCTGCCGCGCGCTCTACGACTTCACACCCAACGCCAACATGCATGCAATGGACTTGTCGGTGAAGAAGGGAGACATGGTTGCTGTGCTCAGCAAGAGCGATCCCATGGGCAACGCATCAGAATGGTGGAGGTGCAGATCAAGAGACGGACGCATGGGCTACCTTCCGGGCATTTACCTCGAGCCTATCCAGCGCAAGACACCCGCACAGATTACTAGTGGAAGCCAGGCCGGAAGCCCAGCTGGTAGCAGAACACAGACAATGACGAACAGCAGCGCCGCGAGCAGGACTGCCACCATGACCGGAGCCCCAGCACCAGTACCAGAGAAGGTTGGTCCGAAGGTGGATAGCAAGGCGGGCGATATGGGTGTTGAGAGTTTCCAGAAGGGCGCCTTTTACTCGTAGGCCTCGAGCGTCGTTCTTGAGCGTATTCTTCTTGGTTCTACATCGCGTTTATAGTAATGATTTCCGTTGCAGTGTCTTCTGCAGGTGTGTACAACTTGGCTAGGAAAAGCTACGGTATGGCGTATGGCGCGAGAGATATCACGGGTCAATACTATTTCGAATATTCAACAAAATATCCATTACCAGCCGTGGCTCAGATTCGTGTTGCTACATGCACAGTGTTAAATGTTGATAGATAGGTACTCACTAAGGCGAAATATACTTCTACGTCAATGATAATTTGGGTGGATGCGGTATAGACTACAGATATCTCTAGTGCCATCTAGTATTGAAGAGCATGGTTGGTGAACTACGAGGATGCCCAGATGGTTCACAGCAAAATGTACCTGGATAGCCGCGTTCCGCCCTGGCGCGCCGCGTGAACCAACCTTCGCAACAAAGCCGAGCACCGAGACATCAGGCAGCGACCGCGCAAACAATTCACACGTCCTATCACCTCTACCTCGTGCCTTCCAGCCTCTTCCCTGTCGCTCACTCCAATTCCACGATCGAACTTCCTGGCCGCTACTTAATCCTGGGCTGCTACCTGATACGCGCGCGGTTGCCCCTCCCCCACACGTTGTCCATTCCACCTGCAGGGTCGCAGCTTGTCCATAAGCTTGTGAGCTGTTCAGCTACCTCGGAACGAAACTACGATACACGTCATTCACTCTGCGTCCTCCCAGGATACATTGTTAGCTACATATACCCACGCGTACACCCCAGGTTGAGAGGCGCACTGCTGCTGCACATCTCGAGATGTTCGCGTCGAAAAGGTTAGGCAAGGTATGTTATCACGGTCTTGAGCACTGAGATAGAGCTTGAGTGCAATGCAATGTATGTAAGGATCTAGAAGCTAACACATATTATAGGAGCTCGCAAAGGTACCGTAATCCTCTCGTACATTGTTCATCGCCCGTCGAAGCACGTTGCTGCCCACCAGACGCCTACAAACTCCACGTATCGACGCGCGGAAGCCTACACACACAATATGACCACGATGTGAAGGCAACGGATATGGAGATTCACACACGGAGGGACAGAGCCGCTAACACAGCGGCGTATAGATGCACGAAAAACTCCCGCCAGGCATAACTCTCATTAAGGCTGACGACTTCCAAACCTGGCTCATGGACATTCAAGTTATGGACTCGAATCCGTTGTACGCGGGCGAAACGTATCGGTTGAAATTTAGCTTTACTCCGCAGTATCCTATTGAGGTACGTGTTCCAATATCCGCAACCTCCCCCAAACCAGACCTCGCTAACCCTCCTCCCCACAGGCCCCCGAAGTAATCTTCCTCCGCGACGAAACCCACCCCATACCCTGGCACCCGCACATCTACTCCAACGGCATCATCTGCCTCGACCTGCTCGACCGCTCCGGCTGGTCCCCCGTCCACAACGTCGAGAGCGTGTGTGTCAGTCTTCAGAGTATGCTGACGAGCAACACGAAGAAGGAGAGGCCGCAGGGAGATGAGAACTTTGTGAGGTATAACACTCAGCGGCCGAGAGATATTAATTTTGTCTTTCATGATGAGACGGTCTGAGGGGTATGGAGGGAATGGGGTGGGCATTTGGGAAAGGGATTAGATGGACTAAAGCATGGAATTGGTGTTTAGGGCGTTCATGGTATGGCCAAAGGGAGGGGATATGGGATTGGATATGACGCTACGGCAGATTTCATGATCACCGAATATGGACAGCGATACTCTGTGTGCAGCTTTGACTTCTCCTCCAATTCGTGGAAGTCGCTCGCTATTGAGAGACATACTGTCGCATTTGATGCTACTCCTATCAAGCAGCATTGTGTATCATTGTCAAAAGTTCTCAACAAGGAATGCGGCCGTCTTCTACCTTGAGCTTCTACGAATGCAGATTCTCGGTGGTGTTGTGAAATCTATAACTTGGTTCAGCTTGCCGCCTACATCATCTCCCCGAACCGAACTACGCACCATTCTCAGATCATGTGGTCTTCACTACACCTTTTTCCCACGTAGAATCGTTGATCCGCTCACTCTTAGTTCAACTCTAAGCGCCATTTCAGAGGAGAAGAACCTTACATACCTACTTGACCCTATCGAATGCAACCACAATACACTATCTGAGAAGCTCGGGCAGATAGCTACTCTAACACGCGAGATGAACCTCAGGTATCAGAAGATGTACTCCAGACAACAGAGAAGACGCCATCACAGATTTCAAGGCACCTCAGAAGACCCGGAACGTACGCCAGCTGACAAAAGGCTATTGTGGTGACACTGAGAACGATGCAGAGGAGCTAGAGGAAGAGGCAGAGTCGTAGCTCTAAGAACTTGTCAAAGAAGACAGAGTTCGCGAAGCTTCTAAAGAGAACGCAAAGCACTATCCTAAGACCTACGTCAGCTAACAAAAGGTTATTGTAGACAAGAATTTTCATTGACATGGATGTAGCGTTGTGGCACATTACGTGATCGGCATTGGCACATGGTAGTATCTGTTAGTAAATTCCAGTTTGTTGAATGAGTTACCACAGGTTTTCCATCTACACCCGTTTTACGCACTGGTGCTGAGTCATGATATCGGCAAACTCAGCTCTCTGACTGCAGGCTCTCAGACTTGTACCAAATAGCGCGGTCCCCACCACCCTTGTTCCTCGTCAATCACAACCTCCTTGACATACCAGTGATGTTTCAACAGGCCCGTTGTTCTTAAGCCAAACAACTGCTGCGACACGTTGTCTCCCCCTTCCGCCGGGGTGCTAGAGGTCGTTATGTTGAATTCCGCCTCGCCGTGTTTACGTCCGTTGTTGTCAGTCCATTCTTTCTCATCCTCCCAGTAGTCACCGCACTTATGCTTCATAGCTTCGCATGCCGCCCACGCGTCATGCGCCGTGCCCAATATGTTTGTTTCGACGATCCTATTGCCACATTCGTCGATGGCCAGGAAAACAGTGTTAGCAAAAGTTGTAGACGTGCCAACTATATCGCTGTGCTGCGGGACGATTTTGATAGCTCCATCGTCGCCATGATATTTCACAATCCTGGGCTTAGAGACATCAGGTATTTGCACGTAACGTGGTGCAATCCTTTCGACAAGGGCGACGGCTAGGGCTTGAGTGGAGAAGACGCCGAGGACGCGGGGGATGAATATGGCAAAGAGTTTGCCTGCGCTGCTGACAATGTAGTAAGGTTGGCTGCTAGACATTGTGGTTTGTGGTAGTTGGTGAGATGGTTGCACGGGATCTCTGGGACTAGGGAAGTTATATAGAAAAGGGTTTGGAACCCCTTGGAAGAAGGAGATCGGAGAGTATCAAACTGGGAGTTGCAAACATTAGTATGCCGGCTCCAGGAGGATCCATAGGTAGAAGTGTGAAGCTGGCCATGGACATGATGTATCGCGAAGATTGTCGTGGTCTTTGTTCCGGAACCCATGGAAGTGAGAAGAAGGGCAATAAATTGGCCCATTCATGAAGACGGCGTCTTAAGTAAGCAATTTGGTCCACGACGCTGGATAACTACCTTGATACTCAGCACTCCAAAGATTTCTGAGATCATGCCGGTAGACGCATACTGTGTAGGCTCCCTAAGCTGGGGCGGATGGATGTAAGCCACAACGAAGATAGCCAGAATTTTGGATCTTGCGGCCATTGATCTGACCCGAGGGGACAGCACGATTGCCTAACTTTAAGAAAGGCTTGTTGGGGTCAGTCTGCTAGACAACTACCGTAGCACTCAATGTTCCAAATTATTTTCAGATGATAGCGTCGGGCGTGTACCGGCGTGGATTGACAAGATTGAGGACGATATAGGCAGGTCTTGTCTCAAAACCTCCCACTAACTGTCAAAGCTTGGCTGCGGGGCACCTTCTCAATGTCACGGTCCGGACTGTTTTCTTTCTCAGCGGGCCGAGGCTTGAAGGTATATCGATGTTGGATGGGTGGTTTTTCATTGAGTATCGATAAGCGCCGCGCCAGGTTAACCGAGTCTGCCTAGCGTCATTCGCCGACACTACGAGAGATCCCTGCCAGGCCAATTTTTCTCTGATCGCTCGCCTTTAAGCAAGCGCGAAAAAGATTCCCAACCCTCTTTTCCACCTTCTCTCCAACACCTTCCTGCTCTTCAATTTTTCAGGTTGTTCCTTATACACATACCGCAATCATGAGCGACGAAGTCTACGAGGGTGCCATCGGCATCGATCTTGGTGCGTAATATTCGCGAATTACCCCACAGTGGGATGCGTGTGTGCTAACAATATCGCAGGCACCACCTACTCTTGCGTTGCCAACTACGAGGGCACCAATGTCGAGATCAGTATGCGCCCGCCACTTCTGCTATCAGAGACCATTGTCTAACAATGTTTGCCCACAGTCGCCAACGAGCAGGGTAGCTTCACCACCCCCTCGTTCGTGTCCTTCACCAGCGAGGAGCGTCTCATCGGTGAGGCGGCCAAGAACCAGGCTGCTATGAACCCCGAGAACACCGTCTTCGATGTCAAGTGAGTTCTGCCGTTCAATCGTCGCACGCGCACGATCAGCCGACTGACTTTCGCAGGCGTCTCATTGGTCGCCGATTCGAGGACGAGACCGTCACAAAGGACATCAAGTCATGGCCATTCAAGGTCGTTGACCAGGGCGGCAGCCCTCTCGTCGAGGTTGAATACCTCGGTGAGACCAAGCAGTTCTCTCCCCAGGAGATCTCTGCCATGGTTCTCGTCAAGGTAAGATCTGCGCACACACCAGCATGGCGGGGCAATGGCTAACAAAATCAACAGATGAAGGAGGTCGCTGAGACCAAGCTCGGAAAGAAGGTCGAGAAGGCCGTCATCACCGTTCCCGCCTACTTCAACGACAACCAGCGTCAAGCCACCAAGGACGCCGGTGCTATTGCTGGCCTCAACGTTCTCCGTATCATCAACGAGCCTACCGCCGCCGCTATCGCTTACGGTCTCGGTTCCGGAAAGTCTGACAAGGAGAGGAACGTC